CTTACCCCAAAATCATTCGATCCTGTTGTTTGATTTGTCTGGTTAGATTAATAATAATAATACTTCGAAAATGATTTCTATCGTTTCGTCACCCCGCGCATCGACTTTAAATGAGGCTAGCAAGCGTGCTAATACAAAGAATAAAGGCTTTAGTGTGGTACGTGTATTTTTCATGCATATATACATATATATATATATATATATATCGTCCAAGTTGAGTACAAGACTCTGTATAATGTCCATTTGTGGAGTGTATGTGATAGTGCTCATATATATATATATATATATATATATATATAGATGCAGCTTACGAGTAGAAAATCGATCTTAGGGCAATTAAGATAATGCCCAGACGCGTGATAGCCGGATGGATTAGTGACAGTTAAATATGGGTGTGTAATCATTGAACAATATCAACTCCAGTGTTAGGATTAGAGAACAAGTAGACAAGTATCAAAAAATAGTGAAAAACTGTCTTACGTCAAGCATTTTCTAAAAGGCGGGAACTGCAATCGTTCTATGGGATGCATGCGGAATAAACTAAGGTGAGTAATGGATCGAGAAGGAACAGCGTGATGTAATGCGAATGAAGGTAGTTAATGAGGGCATAAGATGGTGCGATTTATTCAGATAAAAGAGGGGCAGTGGCGACGGAGGTCGGTGTCGGCGCGGATGTGGACGTGGGTGCGGTGCTTGCGGTTGCGACTGTTGTAACTGGCGTATCGCATATAGTTGGTGGGTTCCCAGCTAGTGTGTTAGTTACTACTGCATTAAGTTGGTTAGATTTGCTGGTATTTGAATCCGTTCCACTGCATGAGACACCTATTGTAGATCCGGAGACAGCAGGGAACGGGCCGTTGGAAGAGCGAAGGATCTGTTGAGTCTGCAGTTGCTGTTGAAGAGGTAATCCGGCCTGTGCCGTCTGCATGCTAGGTTGGTTGGCCTGAGAGGGGGTAGCAACGGTGTTGAGAGACGATGGCATTTGGAAGTTTGGGATGCAACTTCGTGCGACAATCGTAACAATGCTGGAATAATAAGAAGACAAATTCCAATTTATTGATGTTAGCGTACATAGTGTATATTGATAGTTAACCTAGTTGTATTTTTAAGCCGATTTCACTGAGTGAATTCAAAAAACTAAGTGTTTTGTTTTGGGCCGGTATTTCTATCACTAGTCCTTCAAAGGAGTATACTAAGTGAATAATAATAGGTTATAGAGACTTGATTCTGGTCAGCCCAATAAGTGACAATAAGTTAAACGAGAAGCAAAGAATCTGGTTCTCAAGCGAGATGTGGAAGAAATATAGTAACGGTGTTAACAATGATTTTTCTTTGATTACGCTATTCAAGTCGTATCTTGATATTCACCATGGCGCTACCTGCCGATGCTGGCGATATGTTTTTTAACTACAGACATTTTCCGCATTCAAGCTTGCT